TTTCACCACTTCGGGATTACTCCACCACTTGAAATCAAAACACCCGGACAAATATGCGGAGTAAGATCAACGTAACCCTGTTCTCTGACATTTCTCGAGGGGGTGTAACTGCAAAGACTTTCACCACTTCGGGATTACTCCACCACTTGAAATCAAAACACCCGGACAAATATGCGGAGTAAGATCAACGTAACCCTGTTCTCTGACATTCGGTGATATTTTTTCGGTGCTAAAACCCTTTCGGCCGAAAGCCGAAAGTGCCTTTTGAACCATTTTCGGCCGATAATTTTCGGTGGCCGAATATTCGGTGCATCCCTAAAATATTTATATAAATATACAATTTCAGAATCAAACAGAGCACTCATAACGTAACCCTATCAGAGACTGGATATTATAAGTATAAGTATCATTTTTATTGTGATTCATATTAGTACTATTGTCGTTGTTGTTATAATCCCAAAGACAGAGTATGGAAGGATTTAGAGAGTGCACTTTATTATAGGGTTTATAAATAGAACAACATATAATGAAGACAAACATTACATCATATATTCATATATCCTGGACCAATGGGAGCGCTGGTGAGCCGGGTCAGCCCGAGACGGACCAATGGGAGCGCTTGTGGGCTGGGTCAGTCTGAGACGGACCAGTGGGAGCGCTTGTGGGCTGGGTCAGTCTGAGACGGACCAATGGGAGCGCTTGTGGGCTGGGTCAGTCTGAGACGGACCAGTGGGAGCGCTTGTGGGCTGGGTCAGTCTGAGACGGACCAATGGGAGCGCCAGGACAGCAGGTGTGTGCTAGTGGAGGAGTCAGTAACATGTGACCCAGGTCTCTGTGGACCAGGGACCAGAACGGGCCGGAGGAAGACATCGTGTTGGTTTTATATAAAGTTTTGCTTTAAATAACAAATATACGTTAATAATTACAATCCTTTAATATCGCAGAAGGGGAGGAGCTGGGGGTCTGAACAGCAGACCTTGTCCTGAACCCGCTCAGGTTCCCTCGCTCAGGCTCTGGAACCGGGCCCTCAGGTCCCTCACCAGGTCTGAGCCAGGGTTCTGGTTCTGGTTCACTCTGTCCTTCTCCTCCTCGGACTCCTGGTAGACGCGGCAACGATCGATGACGGCCATGATCGAGATGTTCTCCCTGCTGGTGGGGGAACTGCTCTGAACCAGGCTGTCGTCCCCCCCCTTCTCCAAGACCAGGATCCTGTGCTCGGGGTCGTGGGGCAGCGGAGCCTCGGCTGCCACGAAGAACCCGCCGTTAGAACCGCGATCTGTCTGCGGCTCCACACTCAGAGGGGGGTCCAGGGACCGGGGGTCCAGGGATCGGGTGTTCAGAGACCGGGGGTCCAGAGACCGGGCTCTCTGGAGAGGTTTCCTGCTGGAGGTTTCTTCAGCCAGGCTGGAGCGCCTCCTCAGACCCGCCTCAGGCCTCTGATCCTCTGGGGGGGGCCTCCTCAGACCCGCCTCAGGCCTCTGATCCTCTGGGGGGGGCCTCCTCAGACACGCCTCAGGCCTCTGATCCTCTAGGGGGGGCCGGACCTGGTCGCAGTATTTGGATCGCAGCTGTCGGACGTCGGGCCAGGGGAAGATCTCGGTGGGGGGGGCAGGACTGAGGACCATCGAGCTGGGGGTCACAGGGCGGGTCCGGTCTACCTGAGGACCCCCCAGCAGGGGTTCACCTGCGGAACAGAAAACAGATTAAGACCGAGTCCTGACAACACCTGTTCAAAGATCAAAGGCTTCATCACCAACAGAGCGTGTGTGTGTGTGTGTGTGTGTGTGTGTGTGTGTGTGTGTGTGTGTGTGTGTGTGTGTGTGTGTGTGTGTGTGTGTGTATGTA